TTTTAATGAGTAAATCCATTCTAAAAACCGCATAAGAGAAAACAAAACAATCAAGACTCCTCTGTAATTTAAATCGCTTATTAAAACGGTTTTATTCAATAGATAGGCATAGTAAAAAATGTAAAACAAGTAAATGGATAGTGGAAGCTAAATTACATCGGGATTTTGACAAAATAATGAGAATATGTTGTTCCATTTCCTATTAAAAATCGTTTAAACTAATAAATGCATTTTGCTCAGGCAATTGATAGGGTGAATTCTGATAGATATTTTCTGATAGGAAGGTGAAGGTGGTACGGATTAACTTCGATGAAGTCCCTGCTAAAGACAACTAATTTAGGAAAGAGGGACCAAATAACTCACTATGACGAAAGGAAAATGAATCCGAACTAAAATCTAAGCAATCTTGGTGTCCATACCCAAAAAATTCCCATTTTAAACCAAAATAATTCGGTCAAAAGCCATATTATATTGGTCTACTCTATATGGAGCCATTTAAAATTTAAAGCGGAATAATAATCTATTAGTATCAAAAGCAAGCCATTTTTCATCTCAGTCCAAGCTGGCTTATTAAAAAGCTTGACTAAAAACTTTGATAATAGTATCGTAGATATATCGGAACCAAATTCGTTCCATAGAAGTATATTACTAGACTATAGATATACTTGTCACTTGTCCGCTCATTGACTACTGGATTGCGTTAGCATGATTTCATAGTAATAGCAAAAGACATCAGAGGAAGAGGAATCGACTGTCTTCAGGCAATTTCAGGTAACAAGAAAGTCACCTAACGGCTATAAAACGGTGATTACAGTCAGCCACCTTTCGTGTCTTCCTGCTCGTTGAATTATCGTAAAGCAAGCTGTCCTGTTCTGACGATGTCTGTCACATGGCATACAAAAGCTCAGCAAGGATTCATCGGGGTCGCGAAACGGTGGGCAGAGGATTAATTGGCACAAATTTACAGTCACAGCTCCAAAGGAATACTCCTAAGTCTTCTGGTTAAGTTAACTTAAGAATTTCTTACACTCTTCAAACTAAATGAAAGTTATTCTAACAGTAGTGCTCTTAAATGTTCAATGAGTAAAAGTTCTTTCACTAATCAATACTAACCGAAATAAATGAACCCAAGTATGAATGTATTAGGAATTGAAGAGATCATGAAGGAAATTTAGAAGGAATGAATAATATTTTGGGAAGAATGAAGACAGAATTTTAATGCTAAGCTGGCTTCCCGAATGACTGCAAATGTCAAGGTTGCTTTAAAATTGAGTTATAACAGGCTAATGACAAAATACTATCGCTTCTAGATGAAAATAACTAGATAACGTTGTCATTCCATGCTTCCAGAAGAAATGAAAGCAAATTAAATAATAAAACAAAGCAATAAAATGCTGCCAAAATAATTTAACGATATTTTGGCTAAATAACTAATATAATAACTGTGCTGGGAGCGATATAAGAAAAAACACTCAGAAATTGTTGGTAAATTTCATCTCCGAAATAATAAGTCAACTTTTTAGTATGGACAAATAATATAAAAATAAAAACGGATGTAACCGAGACATAAGGAATAAAATATAAATCATATTTTAGGAGTGAAGGAATGGCATTGGACGTTTGATAGTTTTAGGCGATAATAGTTAGTTTTCTCATGATGAGTCGAAAAGATTTGATACTGCCGCATAATACTACCGACATTTATATTAAAAATGGAGCATTATATAGCATTATCGTCTGTTTGCAATCTGGCTGAATTTTTACTAAGTATGAATTTGCGAAAGCATGAGTTCAGGTGGATCAGGGTATAAATAAAGGAATTGTTATGGGGGAAAAAGCTTTCATAGTTAATAAGCTAAAGGAGAAACCAAGTCAGCAAATTGTAACATACAATAGTGGATGGGAGAAAAAATTGTATACAAGGGACCAAACAAAGTCGATACACAAGAGGTATGCGCGTGTAACAAGTAATTTGAGGCGAACGGAGACTTAGGCATAAAGACCTAAAATATAGAAGTACATATAAAGATGAGTCTAAGCCCTTTGATCAATTACTGAGTCAAATCTCAGTTTAAAGCAATATAATAAATAGATTCGCAATTCGATCTTGACAGAATATAAAGGCGGGGTCCATTTAGTCTGTGCTATCTTGAATTTGCTAGAACATTCGAGATCTCTCAATTTCCGAAAAGTCCTTCTTCGTTTATAGAGAGAGTTTGAAGATTTTGTCTATGATATAATAAGCGTAATTAGGCGATAATTCGTATAACAACTTCAAGACACCACAAAGGGCGAAAATTGAATGGCTCATACCTACGTATCATTTATGCTCCAAAATGAATTTTATGAACTATAAAATGATTAGGTCCATCAATTTTCAAATCCATATGTGAACGCATATTAACATAAGTGAGTACGAAACAACTGGGTGTGTAATTACAACTAAGTGTAACCTCCGAGCGTCCTAAAAATTAAAATTATCTTAATCCTCTTAATAACTATACTACTTTAACTTTTCCATCCGCTATATTGAAATGTGACCTAAGTGGCATTCAGGATATTGAGTCTACATATTCAAAGTTCATTTATCAGCAGAATATATATTATTTGTGAGCAAGATATAATCAAATATTTAACCTGGTGCTTAATTATACTGAAATAATAAGATAAAATAAACGAAAATTGCCAGAAAATCATTCTTATTCAATGTTTTAGAGAATTATACTATCCCAACCCCTTCAAAAAATCGCTACACTTACAAAGCCCTGTGAACATAGAAGATTTTTTATACAAAAATCAGGATAGCGAAGCCTCTTCTGGTAGATTGATAACTCATTTTATTTGTGACAGGCGAAGCGCTGCAATAAATATCTTAGAATAAGTTCCAATAATAAATTGCAGCTTCAAATAAAATATCGGTGCACAAATTTGTGCAAAATGCTCTTATCTATCAGTCTAAAAGCTCTATCAGCTTCTTAATTAAGCAGCTGTTTTAAATCGCAAGCCTTAAGCCTTTAAGTCAAAGGTAACACTATGCCATAGCCTAAATGACAGTGGGTTCAGTAAAATGTAACTTATATAGCAAACCAAGCCTCTACACAAAAACTAATTTCAACTGTAGCTATGGAATCATTTTTCCCATCCGAGCAGCGACAATAAGGTTGCATAGAAGAAAAGTAAAAAGAACAAAACGAAATATTTCTCATACAGCGCATCCTTGTGAATGAAAGTGGTTAGCCCATTTCAATTTCGAAATTCCCCTATTTTTCTTGCTGTCTCGGATCCTGTTAAAGATAATCCATCTATCTTAACTGAACGCTTGCGGAAAAAAAACGTAAAATAAAGTAATGCTGCGCTCCTAAACTACTTAATGTAGCCTGTTGGTATAAATTAAATTATATGAAAATCCAAGTAAGTCATCCGAGTTAAGAGCGATTTTGATTTATATTCTTTTATGAATCTAGTTAGAGAAGAATGATATAGAATTCATAACGATTCACTGACCCTTCTCAAGCCTTCATAACATTGGAAGGGTAGCACATGCAGCTCTCGAAACTTAAGGGTCACTGGCAATTGATTATGTTGCTGTTGTTGCTGTGGATTCAGCTGCTGCAAGTAAGTAAGATGATTAAACTGGTGCAGTTGGCTCTGCTGCTGTTGTGATTGTTGTTGTGGATGTTGGTTGGATTGAGATTGGGGACGATGATATTGTTGTTGCTGTTGCGACTGCGTTGGTTGGATTAAATTCTGCTGGCAAGAGGTCGCAAAGGTAGCCATAGAGTTTTCAGAAGGGCGCGATTCACGCTGGGTAGCGATCCACAAGCCGAGTCCTGTAAGAGCTCGTCCGGCCGATTGTGAGCAGACGGCCGAAAGATTTGTGTCTAAACAACTCTTACTAGATCGTTGATTTGAGGTGACGGCAGAAGAAACTGCAAGTGATATATGATCAGATGTTCCAACACTGGAAACAAGGCCTGGAGAGTCAGAATGGAAACTAGAGGCCAGTGCACAGTCAGGTGCGTTTGGAAGAAGAAAAAGAGCTGGAGGAAGAGGAGCAGACTCAAGTTGGGAACCAAAATATAGATTTTCTATGTGACGATAGGCCTGAAGGATAGATGGCGTCAACTGAAGGGCATCGATAACTAAAGTTTTGTGTAACGGATTAAATAAGATGTTTTGAGCTAGCGATGATAAACATGTTAATGGGGATGAGGATAATTATTATAATAATGAAGGTTATATTTGTTACAAGGCATTCCATTTTGATGACAAGAAAAAAGTTCTAAAAAGAGATTAATTGAGGTTTTAAATTAAGTTTGAAAGTAATAAGTTTATGAACAAAATAATCAATTAGTTGAGTGCTTTAGGGGGCGGAGACAGGTGAAAGATTTAGTCAAAAAATGATTATAAAGTCAATTATAAAGCAAAGCCATTAAAGCAAAGGCTTTGAATGTCCTTTGGCTTATTGATTGCAGAAATCCAAATAATCAGACTTGAATCACCGATGAGAGTAGTTCCCCGCAGAAGTAAGTATAGGTTCAAATAATAAGAAATATTTAAGAAAAAATTTAAGTTGGAAAGCTGAACTGAGATACGAAAGGTCGAGCATAAAAATAGCCAAGAATATAATCCTCAAACGTGAAAGTAAAAATAATTAGCTAGTTAAATTAATAAAAGTAAATAATAAGCTTAAATTCGTTAATTGTTTAAAATCTCTTTTAATAATCTGACTATAAAATTAAAAAATAATCGAATAAAA